TCAGCAGGGCTAAGATAAATGTCCTTTCATGTGTATTGGCCCATGTTCTCATGGCTGTAGGTAGGTACACATGATGGTTTTATCTCTATTATAATTCTCAGGCTGGTAGGTTTTGGACAGGTGTCCACCTCCTGAAGCATCTCCTGAATGGTACTGGCACATATGTACTGCCTAATTCCAAACCCAGCCTGAGGAGCTATGTTGGGTTTGTGCTTGATGATTGCTTCAAGTTGTTAAGCTGTGGGACAGTGAGCTAGGGAAGAATCTGGGCAAAGAGACATTTCAGTCTTGAGGAAGACACGTCTTTCTTAGATTGCCATCAATAATTTGAGAGACCAGTTGTTTGACAACACCAAGAAAATGTTTGTAACATAATCCAAGAAAGAAGATGCAAATAAGTGTTTATTAAAGTAAAAATATATCTAGACTTACCTGAAAAATTCATCTGTATGAATAAAATTATATTCTTTTGCTTACTGTGTTTATATCCAGTACTTCAGCTTCCTATTCTTTAGGACTACTTCTGACTGAAAACAATACATTATCTCAAATAATAAAAATATTTATTAAAAAGAAACATTTTTAATATGTTATAAAACATAAAAAATGTTATTAATATTCTATAAAAATAAACAAATGAACCCTGTTGTGTTCTTGTCTTCTAAACTTGTACTGCTTGTGTACTGATGTAGAGGATGGTAGTTAAGCAATGGAATTAGAGTAGCAGACTTCATATTACAAGCAGCGTATCTTCTTAACAGGTGATAAGAGAGGAGAACTGACTTCTGCATCTCTTCCATGAAGATGACTGAGGTTACTGAGGGACAATGACATTTTTTTCACATTCTCCTTTAAATCAAGAATCATATTAAAATTCAATTTTTAATTGAAATCTTTCTTGAAGTCATGTTTCCTCTTGTATAGTTCCTTGCAGATCTGTAACTTTTCTTAAATTTATTTCTTAAAATGAACAGTATTTTCTCTTTTAAAAATGGTTTGCTTATGATACAAATGTCCTTATAATATTAATTCAGGAATAGCCTCATGCAGAGCATGAACAGAAGCAGAATTCAGAAACTTCACAGAGTAAACAGGAAATATATTATGCTTAACTATAAGTGCATTTCTACTATGCCCATCACTATATTTTCTATCACTAGAGAAAAAGCTTTTGTGAGATTATGAAACTGAAGAAATGCATATTCACCAAAATATGTTGCAGTTTTTATTATTAACACACATTACAAAGTTAAACATAACAATATATATTGTGTTCTGAATACAAGAATTACAATAGCACCAGTCTTGTGATGTAAATAAAGTCAAATTACAGTATTCACTGAATTATATAATTCTCTCAAAGCTATTTTTATAATTTTAGAATGAGCGAATAAAGACTTTAAAACATTCAGTAGGTTTCAGTGTGTACAAAAGATATCTGGAAAACTTTTCTGTTTTTTTTAGATTAAAAACTTGATCTCCATGAAGTTAATAACAACATAAATGTTTTAGAGTATTTTGGTTTGGAAGAAGTGCTCCGGTGGTCAGCTACCTATCAATTTTTTTCATAACTTTTTTTTTCATAATTTTTTTTTCATAATTTTTCATTGTCTTTGAGTCAACTACTTCTCTGTCAAATTTGTTTGAAATTGGTCAACAGATTTAAAAGATACTTGACAGGGAAAGATGGTGGTTAAAAGCAACAGGCATAAAAAGAGCTCATGTTTCCCATCCCTGTATAGAAAGCTAGGCTAACTGCTGGGTTCTTTTCACTGAGCTGCTGCATCTTGGTTCTGTTGCTTTGAAAGGTATGTGGATAGTTCTACAGAAATAAATCCCTTGTTTATCCAGAAAGTGAGGCATCCATAGGAATTTACACGTTCCTTGTTCTTACTTTCAGCCTCTTGAAATTCCCCTGCTGCTGCTGATCCTCTGAATACTGGTTTTCCCCTGAGTTTACACAGAGTCTAATTCAAAATTACTGAAAACCAGAAAAATTCCCAATAACTTCTCAGGATTTTAGGCCCTTTCTTTACTAAACCCCTCAGAGACAACTTCCTATGGCAATAGAAAAAGTGATTTACTTGTATTTTCCCTGGTTTGAGTATGTTGTATTCTTTGAACTCCGATATTCTAATAAAAGCTGTAAAAATCGGTGAAAAAATACTTCATTTTTAAGGACAGAACAATTAAAACTTATGAATAAATGTTTGGAACAGTTCATTGTATTGAAAAACAGTTCAGCAGCCTTTTCAGGGCAGAAATATCCTTGCATTGCAATATAAGAATTTTAGCTTCATTTGTGTATTGTTTTAGATCTAATGAAACCAGTAAACATACACACTTTGCACCACTAACAGTCTATTGTGTACTGAAATCTTCATACTCTTCAATCACTTTAAAGTAGTTCAGATGAGATACACAAAAGGAAACCTCTGAGATCACTGTTGTCTTAGACCAGGCATTTATTAGTTACTGATCAAGTAACAAGCACATTGGTCAGAATTTTCTCTCTGTTGATGTCATTCATTTATTAAGTAATTAAGAGAGGTATTTAAATAATCTGAACAGGCTTTATCAAGACAGCACCAATAAACTAAGCAGTTTTTATAAAAAGAAGGCCCTAAAAAATAAAGGTTTATGTTTATGTCTAACCAAGTTCTCTTAGTCAATTTTTCCTGCAATTTCACGACACAACAGCAAGAGATCCCAAGAGTGCTTTTTTAGATCCTAATTTTTTTTGCTGTGAAAACTATCAGAAATAAAAACAGGTCTAGATGGGCACTCAAGGGTACTTGGTTGAAACAATTAGCCTATTTATGTTGATCTAGAAAATTCCTTAAGCAAAAGTGTTAGTATCTGGAAGCTTGGCATAAAGATTGCCATGACCCACCCCACCCTTAAAAAAAAAAAAAGAAATCCTGGAAATATTTTTGTCTGTATCTGTTGATACCAACAATAAGGGTGAGGAGGTTCTGTCCACAGTATTTTTCTGTATTTTTGCAATGCACTTCTGCTTATCTGCAACAGTGCTCTCAGAAAGGTTCTCTTCTGTATACAAAGACTGTCCAGCTAGTCACATGCATATTCATTTAACATGTCACCGGCAAGGAGGAAGGATAAATAACCTGTGTATGCCAAAGGCAAGGAGAAGGGATAAATAATTCTGGAAACAGTGTCCCTCGGCCCAGAGAGGAGATGTGATTCAGCTGCATCCGCCCCTCGCAGGACTGAGAAATTGCTGTGAGGAATCCCAGAGGGAGGTTTTGTGCCTCTGGTGCAAATAGCGTACAGATGCAATCGGTGCAGAGGCTGGGTAGATGAGCTGATTGGGGGCAAAGGGAGAATCAATTGCTGGCAGCAGGCAGGCAGATGGGAGGGATGAGAGTTCGTAAGGTACAGGGCAAATTCAGCCTACCCAGTGCCACGCCAACTGTCACACACTCATCATGGGCAGAGGGAGGGTTTGAGAAGAGCTTTAATTTTTACTATTTTTTTTTAGGAAGATTATGACTTGTTTCTTTTTTTCATTTATTTTAAGGCCAGCAGTAAGAAGATCTTAAAGCAAGATTTTTGACGGGTCAAAATATTAATTTACTGTAATGTTATCAAATGGTAACTCTGCAACAGCATATATTTAAATTAGTTAAAATTAAGTTATGGACAGCTTTTTTTTCCTATTAAATGCTGATTTTTAAGCCTTTCTCAGAACTAAATCTGGATTTTTAATTATTATTTTTAAAAGCCTCTAAGCCCTAATAAGTACTTAGATTAATACTTTTCAAAAGCCATAGCTGCTTTAGTACAAAATATGTCTCACGATTACATTGGTTTATACACACATGTAAATCCTATTGATGTTCATGTATCACTGAATATCCCAAGATAATATTCTAGGATTAAGCTTCAGTATTAAATTTTTTTGTGTAAATCATCCTTTGATGTAGCATTAGATTGAAGAGGTCCCATTATTTAATTACACTAAAAATTACAGCACCGTTCTGCAACTCCAAAACACATTGAACAATCTTGGTAGGAATGTGAACCAATATGCAGCACGGTGTGAGCAGATTCATTAGGCCAGGATCTGCTGGCCTTGGGAGGCAGAAAAAGAAATACAAGGCTTGGCTCCTCTGTCACTAAAACTTGCCGTTGGTATTTTCATAAGACATTGTACTTCCACCAAAGAAGCCGCAGTCTCCTGACATAATGTCCCTCCCCTTGTCACCCAAGAGGACCTGTTTGTAGCCAGCAGAGTCTACCCTCATTTCCACCCCAGGCAGTCTTCCTGTTTTTGTGACTGCAGGGTAAAACTACAGTTTCTACTGCAAATAAATCAAAGCAACAGCCAATTCACAACCCCTCCTTAAGCGTGAAGCAAATCAACTGATGTGCTGCTTTCTTTAAAAAAAAATAAAATCGTATTTTTACACAGAAATGTGATAAAAGCCTTTAGGCCTAGCTCTTTGGTGTAAAAATACATACAAGCAAGTGATAGATTTGGGGAGAGTTCAAAACCTTAATATGGACTTAATCTTTGCAACTGACCTCTATTCCTTGGTTAGAGTCCAACACACCTGCATCTCTGGCAGCATATAAAATAAACCTTGCCGATAATTAGGACACTTTTCTAACTGCACACCCTCACGTGTCTGCAGATAAATAAGACTGAAACAACACGAATGTCCACGTGCTTTCACAGGGATCCTCCATGCTTTACAGCTTTCGTGAACATATATAGCTGTTCCATTTGGCCTTCCTGCAGTCAGTTGCTTGCCATTTTCCTCGCTTCTGCACCAATACGCAATTTCTTCCTCTCTTTGGAAAGTGGTAGGAGCCTCTTCTCCAATTCATGTAGGTTACAGGTTCTCCTCCATTCCACTCCCAATGTCCAGGATTGACTTGGTCATTCAAGCCTGTGTGAAATTGGTTAAGACCAAATCAGTGATATTTATCATCTCTGGAGCCTGATGCCAACACAAACATGTTGTTCTATCTCTTTGTTAAAAAAACACATATAATATTGTGCTGAGAGAAAAAACCCATCTGGAAGAATACAAGTAAAATACAGTTTAATATTTCATAAGGCCATCTGAATCACAATTAGTGCCATATGAATAAGGGAAAATATACTTCTCTGCATTATTGCCTATCTAAAATGTTCTCTCTGTTTCTATCTATTGCATGTCTGTCATCTCCCAAATTTCTCTTCTGATATTTAAGACTCCATGCAGAACGTTGTATTCAAGTTTGGACAGCCTCAGATGCCTTCAGATTCCTTCTGAAAATAAAATCCTGCAGATCTTTGTAGACCTTGTTTACACTGTTGAGATTAACAGTTGTACAATTAGGTTTTGTTAATTAATACAACGTAAAACACATCTTTTCATTTAGCCTCTGAGTTACTAAGACCAACATGGGTGGCATATTTCCAGACATGACCTGTCTTCTAGAAGAAACCAAGATCAGAAAATTGACAAGACCATCAGAAAATGGCCTTGTAGTCTTTATTCTTATCAGAGGGTTTTATTCCTCTCAGGTTAACAGAATCATGATACAATTAAACATGATCCCAAACTAACTGTAGTTTTTAAAGTTAATTTAGAATAGCTAGTAAATCCATCTCAGAAAATTACTAAGAGCTGAAAATTGCAGTTCTCAATTGGAAAATAGAACCTAAAATATGGACAGTGTAGCAGAAACAAGAGGGGTCAGAAGAAAGCAATAGCACTAGTCCATGAGCTCAGGCACTCATTCCCAGGAAGGGCTCAGGGGGTCCAGAGAAGGCCCATCTGAGCCTGTGTGGTGCTTAGTTGCCAGCTGAGGTTAAACCACAACACTAAGGAGATCAGAGGTGCAGAATAAGAAATAGACAGCTAAATCTAAAATGATGTGATGAAATCTTCTTTAGCTGATCATCTAATTAATTCATAAGATTTCTGATACAAGATGACACCCTTAAGTTAGCAGTAACATAAATATTTATTTAAAGTAAAATAAAGTCAAGTGAAGTAAAAAGATAAATTACAGATAAATCAAGTAACAGTCAAAAGAAAGGTGAGATAAACAGAAGAGTAGGAGCTCCATCAGAACTAATTTTACTAGCTAGTATTAAAATGAGAAAGATTTCAAGGTTTCAAAAACAATCCAGCGATAGGCATGATAAACTCTTCTTTTTTGATAAAGACTTATAAAATTAGCCAGGTAGATTATGGCTTTCAGTTTATGCCTTGCTCTGAAATACTAAAAGCAGCAGAAAGTTGAGGATAATGCAAGGTTTGAAAACTGGGCTGGAATTGCTGTGGCAGTTTCTGCTTTCCCAGGTGCACAGGAACCTCCCTCGGAGGGACCAGGCAGCCGCTGTACTTGCCTATCCAAAAGGGCTTCCTCCCACTGAAGTCCCACAGCCACTGCATGTGTTGTTCATTAGCCGCACTTGCCAGACTCCCCAGGTATCTAGGCTCAAGGAGAAAGGACAGAGTAATTAGCATTCCACAGAGTGACAGACAGCTCCTATCGACTTATCAACAAGGGGCACTGATTCTAATATAAAGCGTATCAATAACTTTTCACAGGAAAACTGGTACTTACTGGCATGAAAGAATAAAGTCCTAAAATTCTGGATCACTTGGAGAGGAACCGAAGTCCCAGTCTGATTTTTCTAACAGAAAAATTAAATCAGCTGGGCAACTGAAAGAAATGTACACAGGAAACGTGTACCTCATACTCACAAACTGTGTTTTAAACCATTGACACAATTGTTGACACACACTTTTCTTTAAAAAAGTAATCTGCATGCACTAAAATCCAAGCTGCTGAAAGATAGAGCTTCACCCATTTGGTAGTAGAGCAGACTGTGTCTTTTTAAAATGCTGTTCTGACCAAACCAAATCTTTGAATACTACAGTTATGATGTTGGCCATGTTTCAAAAAAGAACTAAGTGGATGTAATTTAGGGGTCTGGCTTAGAGTGGTACTGTGGTTCTGCGAGGTAATGTTGGGTTGTCTGCAATGACTGTGCATTTAGTTCAGATTGGAAAGCAGTTGCGGTGTGTATTAACCAGCCTATTTCAGAATGAAGCCAATGCATAAGCTCTGCTCTGTGTTTGTACTTAAACTATGCCAACCCCAAAGGACGACTTGCAAACCCTTGCCACTGAGTGGCCTTGCCGCTGTGAAGTCTTCCAACTAGTACTAAGCGTGCGACCACCAGCTGGCTGCTGGTGCTCATTTAGAGATCAGGCTAAATCCTGAAGCATTAAGAGACCAATGGCATCCTTCACATTTGCCAGCCATCAGTGGCTCCACTTTCCTACTTACCCATCTTTTTGCCTGCCTTGATATATCATCTTTTTACCTGTCACACCTGCCGTTGCCTTCCCTCTGGTGCTAAGCCTCTGTCATTTCTGTTGTCCCAGATTTCTGACTGCCAGTCAGTCTAACAGTGACACCAGCCCCTTCAGCCTCCCAGGATGTCCTGGGTGATGCTTGATAGAGCCCAAGCAAACAACACTACTCATCAAAACATGTTTTAAGAAAGCCAAAAACTTTTCTAGCAGCAGAATAAGTTAATGGCAAATAAGGATTTTGATAAAGTCATGACTGTTGCCAGATAATGGAGACAGATCAGTGTTGCTCCAAAAGAGATAAAGACTGTCTTCTTTAAGAGCTGGGACAACACCCAGACCTCAAGAATGGGATGGCAGACTTGAATCCATGTGGAGACCATGAACAGATCTTGGAGTACAAGCCCACCACCAAGCCTGCTGCCCAGTTAGAGACCCATGCCTGGAGCTCCATTCCTGTTTGTTGCCTTCTATCTCTTCTAACAGTACCAATCCCATGGATGCCATATCAGAATGCCACACAAGATGATAGGGAAGCAGGCAAATTTTACATCAGGAGGAATTTAAAGTAGTAGCCCACAATATTCTGCACGGTCCCTACTGCACAAAATCTGGACTGTTCCTTAATCTAGGCGCACAGGGGCATGGTACAGAACACATTCATTGTAATGCTGATGGGAATGTCCTGCTGCAAAGGCCTCCTCCATTGTCCCTGCAGTCAACCAAAGCGGCAGGGTATTCGCCGTCTGCTCCGCTTTGCACGGTGGGTCTGCCAAGGCCTGCAGGAGAGCTGAGTGTTAGCCCTCACAGCCTGCGTAATCATGGCTGCCCTAGACTGAGCACCACACAGTACCATAGGTCCCATCAAGGGCCCCCTAAGTTCAGAGACCACCTGAGAACAAAGCGTAAAGGATCTCATTAACATCTGTGCACCTCTGGTAGAGGTGTGGCAGAATGGCCTCAGAAACATTGATCACGAATTTATAAATGGCAGACTGTACCAGCACCAAGTGGTTAGCAGCTGTCTGGTAGGTGTTGGGATCGTGCACCCACTTATGGCACAGGCTCCCAAAACTTCACACTGTAAGCTGCCAGCACAGAGGCTTTGACTGTGCTTCTCATCACGGTAAAGTTTAGTGCATGGTGTTGGTGCCTGTATGTCCCAAGGTTGACATGCTTCCACACTTCTGAGCCCATCTACCATCCACCAAATCTGCAATGAACCAGGAACGAAGCTGTTACACTGACAAAAGCTCTTGGAAAGTTTTGCACTCCATCTGCTTCCTCAGACAAAAAGTGAAGGAAAGCAGGATCAGTTTATTCAGGGTGTCCCCCCCAGGGCAACTGACTCAGAGGCAGGATGCCATTCCTCCTCACAGTGACTGTGGGTCGCCACTGACCAGATGCAGGGCTAAGAAGACATTTGGGCAGCAGTTGCTGTGGTATCACCACTAGCTGAGGAATAACAAAAATAGGGTATTTTGTCTGGCTTCTGCTTCAGGACAATCAAAGCCCTGGAACTTACTTTAAGTAAGCATAGCTTATTCGTCTTGTTTCAATTGTTTTAAAAAATGTGAACACAAAAAGGATCAATGTGTATCAGTAACTTCTATATTGTTTATGACATACAGGGGTGGTCTGAGCAATAACAGTTTCAGACTTTTACTTCACTCCAAGTACCAGGGAGAGACTTCAGCACTGTGAAAGGAAAGCAGTGCGATAATAATGTTATCTAATCTTTTATCCATAGGAATGCTTTCTAAATACAACCTGAGACACACACATGACTGAAGAGAGAACAACTGTTCTAATTGCTACACCTA